AATCGCCCTCATTTCAGGCTCGAGTGAACGATGAAATCAAGCCCGTCCCACACCTGAGTCACTGACCCTCGCCAAACCTAGGCTCGCACAGGCTTGTTTCCATCGTCAGCGTATATAATTCCTACCTGGGGTCAATTCTCTCAGTGTGACGAGCAACAAATCCTCACCGACGACTAGGTGAAATAGGCGTTGAATGAACCGTACCTCAGTGAGAACTCAAATTGAAATATATCCAGAGCCCGTGGTTTATATACTAGGAAGAAGGCAACCGCCAAAGGCAAAATATAAAAAGAGAATCATGAAGAGTCATCTCCGCACAGATGGGCATGATAATAAAACACAGAAGTCCCGTCAGTTCACTGCGTAGATCTCGCTTTCTTGTTTGCCATTTTTTTTCTCTTCATCTATGAATACGTACATTTTAAGAGCCATAGAGTTTGCTAATTGCTGAGGCGCACACGCTCCTACGCGTGAGTTAACTACAGGGGGGCTTCATAGAAATCTCTGGAAATCTCACCCAACGAGTTCATAACCATTTGCAGTTGTAATAATTGTGATACACTCTAATTGTTTCTCCAAATATCAGAAATAGAAATAGACCTTTCTAAGTGTAAAATTTTGCATTCACATGAGTTGGCTTTTGGGGTCGAGGTAAAACCTGCCCGATAACTGGGGAAATTTCAGCTGAATAACGGAATATAGTGATTTCGTTGGAATTAATTAACTATTTTCAGAAAATTAATTCTTGATGAACAATTCGTTTTTTAATGCTTCTGAGAATGAATGAAGATGGAAAGGTCATAATTTTGAGTTTATATGACAATGTTAATATATAATAAACACAAGGCGACGACGTCATCATCTCTACTGATTTCTCCAGCATTTAGAAAAGATATTTTCAAAAAAAAAATTAGTTATAAATTCATTTGGAACTGCAGGTAATGAAAACATCGACATTGCGAGTTTTTCTGCAAAAAACCCTGAAATGAAATTTCAGCTAAAAAAAGGAATATGACGATTTCATTGGGATTGATTAACTATCTTTAGAAAATTAATTCTTAATGAAAAATTCGTTTTTTAATGCTTTTGAGAATCAATGGAGATGGAAAGATCATCATTTTGAGTTTATACGACACTGTTAATATATAATAAATACAAGGCGATGATGTCATCGTCTTTACTGATTTCTTCAGCATTCCCAAAAAAAAATCAATGAAAAAAATATTTATAAATGTTTTTAAAATTTATAATTGTTTAGCAATTCATTTGGAACTGCAGGCAATAAAAACATCGACATCTCGAGTTTTCCTTTGAAATTTCCCTGGCTTTCGAATGCAGATATTTTCATCATTACCCATATAATGTCCTACACAATGGATCTAATGGTTGTCTAATGCAACTATATCCATTGAAATTTCAACAAACAGTATTTATCAATGACCAGAAAGAGAGTAGCGAAGTGAAATGTCTCCATGCCGTCTTCTCATTATAATTTGCATGAAAAGAAATTAAAAAAGAACGTGACCGCATCCTCTTTAACCCTGCCGCGACTTTCTGTGGTATTCAAGCAAAACCCATTAAAATGAATTCTGCATACTAAATAGCAGACGTTTAAAAATCTCCATCACTCCATTAAGAACTACATCCACACAAATTCAATTATCCGGACCGAGTGGGAAAGATAATTTTCATCTCCCTTAACATGCATGCATTTATTTAACAGGGATCTCCGTATATTCAGACGGACTTTTGAGAAACAAAAAGATTGTTTTGGAAATAAGAATGGACTGCAATGATAATGTGATTGACACAAGCTTATACTGTATATATGCACTGAATGATAAAATACTTTTGTCAAAGAAAGTTTACTTGATACAAGAAAATATTCTCTTGTCCTTGCCAGCCAGCGATTCGAATAGTCTGAATATTTTAATATTTCCGAAATATTGCCTTACTTGAATATTTCCGAAACTACGGATGACAATTCAGTAGCGAACTGGTAAAACAGTCTAAATCGACTTATCTCCCAGTTGAGTTTTTGAGGAATATTTCCTAATCTAAGGGAGATAGCGAAATTTTCGTAATTACATTTGTTATAGCTCTTAATCGGCTCTACAAAAAAGGTTGTGATAAAAATTTTAGTATCTCCCTTAGATTCCGAGATATTCATTGAAAATTGGTCAATAGTCAAAATTGACTTCTACTGTTTTACCACTTCGTTATTGAATTTAAGCAAACAAGCAACATTGGCAAGAGGGACTGTAGGTTCAATTAGATGTCCGTTTTACTATTATCCAGTCATCAAAAGCGATCCGATTAGAGTGACATTAAGCGTCCCACGCGCTTGGTAACAAAAGCGCCCCGGACGGGAGGGGTTAAAAAACTAATCCGTAATAGATTGATTAATTCTGAATACGGTGATTTTTTTTTGTAAAATTGTATACTACATAGTTTCTGCGATATTTAACTCTAAAGAATGAAAATTTCATGAAAGCATTTCTTATTTGATTCAAACAGTTATTTTTGTCTGTATCAAGAGCATATTGACACCTTAATAACAGACAAGGGTATCAGTGATAAGCATATCAATCAATCATAATTACTGTTAAATTGTTAAGTTGTCAATTTTTAACATAAATCTTAAAAATTTTAAGTATGAAAGTAACCATCAATTTGTAAATTTCGAAATATTCTATCAACCAATAGTGTAGGTAGGAAGATTGACGATTATTTGGATAATCGAAAATCAAGTACCTAAAATCAGAATCAGCTTGTTAACTGAAAAATTACATTTCAGTATTATCAAATATTTTATTCACCATCAATCGAAAACTTTAGCTAATAAATTCTATAATATTTTAAATTTGTTAAATATAGTTAAACTTTGAACAATATAAGGAGATAATCCCTTCTTAATATTGTCAAAATCTAATATTATTGCCTATTCCTGAAGCGTATCTACATCGGGAACTCATAGAACTTACGCTTGTCTGTTATTAAGGTGTCGATATGAGAATAGAAAAACTCAATAAAATGAGAATGCAGTGAATTAAGTCATTTAAAATTCTTTCCGGAAATCCATAATTTTTGGGTGTTATTGACATGGTATATACCTTAAAGGAATGAAGCCATAATGTTAAAAATTGCCAAAAAAGCAAATTAAATAATTGCCATTCATTTTATTCAACATGAAAATTGTAAATGACGTATTCGATTGGTTTGTCCTTAGGGGATTATTTTGTCCTAGGACTGAATAAAAAGCATTTCACTCTATCAATCTTCTAACATGTGGAAACTAAAATAAAAGATTCGTGGGAAATTCAGCATTCCACGGGCTTGCTATCCTGGTTTAATTGCGCCTGAAAGGAACACATTCAAGTGTCTCATCACGAGAGTTTACTTAATTGTAAAATAAAACTAGGTAGGAAGATCCCCGGGGCATAGAGCCAGACGAATAGAAAGAAATTCTCTTCTCATCGCAGCGTGAAAAGAAAAGTCGGATGTGTTGCCTCGAGGCATTCTGGTATGCGACAGGTTGCGTTTGTTCGTGGGTGTCGGACAGAGACAAATGTACACAAACAAATAGGAACGTAATGAGAGACACGTTGTCAACAGATATACCTTTGACCCATTCGATATTTACGTGAAGAATTGTTGGGGTAAATGCCCGGAATGCCAACTGTACTGTTAGAAAATTGTTTGTCGTTGGTTTTTAGGGGAGGGGGATATAACCGGAGGGGATTCTGTCAATTTAATCAGACGTTCAACGGGATACGATCATCATTCCACTGTGAATAGATCCCTTCATCGGGAATTTCTTCACTAGAGGGAATTGTTTTCTTCGGCGTAACTGAGGGAATTTTTTTTTTCGGGAGAATTTCGGGAGAGAGGAATGAGTTGGCGATTTTGGAAAGTTAATTAAGATGAAGATGAGTCAGTAATAGAGTGATGAAGAACGTGAGATGAAGACGAATTTGTAGAAGGATTTTTTGTTGATGATTGTATATCTATTCTATTCTGCGAATACAAGGAGGGTTTGATGGTGAAAGTTACGATTAGCGATGGAGAATAGAAAATGAAACTACACTGTTAAAAAGTTTCGTCCGAATTTTCCGTGTCAAATCCCGAAAATTTTTATTATGTTTATTTCCTGAAATTTCCACTGAAATTCCAGGAAATCTTGTCATTGCAAAATGAAATATTTCATTAATTCTCGTTTCGAATGATCTGAAAATCATTAAAATACTTGATTTTCCAGTGCAATTATTCCGTGAAAATTCGTAAAAATCATGAAAATTCAGGGAAAAATTGAAAATTTATGTTATTTTGTTTCTGAACATTCATGTTCCACTGAAAATTCAAGCAAGTTGTGAAATTTTCCTCTCACTGCCACTGAAAACTCATGAATTTCCTTGAATTCTACCTAAAACTTGAAATTTCATTACCATTTTTTCTCTAAATCGGATTCAATGTCACTCTTCCGAGAATTACTATCACATTTTCCCTGAAACTTCGAAAAATTTCTAACAGTGTAGAATGGGTTTAGGTGAATTAAGGGAAATACTGTTTCTTGTTGAGTATTTTATGCTCACCAAGAAAAATATTTTAGACTAAAGTTCCCAATTTCCGTAGATATATTTCGAATATAAGAGGAATTTAATGGCTAATAAAAGAGAGGAATGAGTTGACTATTTTGGGAAGTTAATGAAGATGAGAATCATTCAGGAATGGAGCGATGAGGAGTAGGAACGTCAGAATAGGTCTGGATGAACAAAATAGAAGATTGCTTTTGTGGAAATTTTATGTTAGAAGGAAAATTTTTTGGGTTTAACCGTCCATTCTTCGTAAATATATTACGATTATTAGAAGAGTTTAATGGAGTTTAGTGAAGGAGAAGAATTACTTGACTATTCTGGAAAGTTAATGAAGGTGAGGAGTATTCGGTAATAGAGCGATGAAGAGTAGAAAATAAAGCCAGAAAGGCTGAAGGCCCTTGGGCAATGACCACTTTCAAGAATGTATGTTTTCTGCAATGAATAACGTTAAAGTTAAAAGTTAAAATCAAAACAGGCTTAAGTGAATTGAGAAAAATGCCAGTCCTTGTTGAGTATTTCATGCTCCACAAGAAAAATATATCAGTCCAAACTTCCTAATTTCCGCAAATATATTTTGAATATAAGAAGAATATAATGGAGTCTAATAAAAGAGGAGAATGAGTTGACTATTTTGCAAAGTTAATGGGGATGAGCATGATTAAGTAATAGAGCGATGAGGAATAGGAGATAAAGCCCGGAGAGGTTCAGACAAATTTATTGAAATATTTTTATAGCTGTTTTATGCTCTACGATTATTGGAATTCCACATTGTCTTGCGATTATAAAGGGAGTTCGATGGAGTCTAATAGAAGAGACCAATGAGTTGACTATTTTCGAAAGTTAATGAAGATGAACATGACTCAGTAATAGAGTTATGAAGAACAGGAGATATTATTAATACCGAAAGATTTTTTCTGTCGATGAATTTCAGCTCTACAAGGAAGAACTCGACAATTTCCTGTGGACGTTCTAGTTTCCAAAGGTCTAGATCGCAATTGTCGGACTTCTATTTTATCTTGAAATGGATGAAGAGTTTAATGAAGGCTAATAAAAGAGAGAAATGGAAATCGCGCGTCCGGTCTAGCAGAAGATAAAGTCAGAAACGGTTCGGATGGATTTACCGGACATTTTCCTTTAATGTCATAGCTTTCGAAGATCTAGGAATTCATCGAAATATTTTTCTTATCGTAATTTTATGCTCTACAATTATTAGACTTTAATGATATCTCATAAATACAAAGAGGATTTAAAGGGATATAATAGAAGAGAGAAATGAGTTGACTATTTTGGGAAATTGATGAAGATGATAATGACTCTGTAATCAACCGATAAAAAAAAGGGATAAATTATCGTTTTCGAACACCTATATCACCATCGTTGTCTGTATTCGGGATCGCAACGTAGACGTGGGAGCCACCAAGTGATCTCTGAACTAACTACTCTTGGGGGACAACCAATGGGATCCCCTGGAGCGAACCAATGGTAGGGGCCAACCAATGAGATCGAGGAGAACCCAGTGATCTCATTGGTTGCCCACCAAGAGTCGTTTATTTGGAGACCACTTGGTGACGCCCCCTTCAACGTTGCGATCTCGAAATGTATTGCACATGAAGCTAATAGTATATTTCGTCATTAGGGCGAAGAAACATTTTCCTCGTAGATATGAGCCCGAGTCGATGGCGAGAGTTGCAATCATATGAGCTAGAAAAGTTTTTTAGGCCGTGTGACGAACAATATTTTTCGTCATAACGGCTGTAGGCAGTGAATCGCGGACGCGTAGCGTCCGTCAAACACTTCCTTATGGGCGGAATCAAAAAAAAATTCAGCGAAAGGTCGCACTACAACAATTTAATCGATGTTGTGAACTTATTTCGCCACTATCCCTCTAAATACTTACATCCGAATTAATTTATATCATCTGGAGATGAATACTACTATGTATTGCATTAAATAGTATCGTTTAGTGCATAAAATTCGTTGCACCCAGACTCGAATTCCGCGCACTAATCTCCTCCCTCTGATTTCAGGTACTCCCAATTATTTTGTCCTGCACCCTGTTCCTGCTGACCGCAGGGGAGGACTCCGAGGAAGTCAGCCCGTTACCCCCAATAAAAATCGACAAGCACCTGCGCCGGGCGCTTTTAAAAGCCCTGGAAGACCTCGAGACCGAGTCCGAAGAGCAGAAGCCGGATCCTCCCACCGCGGAGCATCTCGCTACGAAAGTCGCCGATAACATCGACACATCCTCGCGCTTCTCCGGCGCCTCCTTCTCCTTCTCCGGTTTCCCCGCCGAATCATCGGAAGTCCCGTCCGAGGAAAAACTTCAGAACTCGAGTTTCATCGAGACCGAAAAACTCGAGACCTCAGAGCCCAAAGAGAGCGAGAAAGCCGCATTCCAGAAGTACGACGTACTCCTCGGTGACAAGGAGATCCAGGAGAAGAGCCCAAACCCAAATCAAGTCGATCAGATTCTAACCCGAAGTGTGGAAATAACAGGCGGCAGATCAGCAAACTCGATCAATCAATCAACGAAGGAAAAGGACGAGAAAGAAAGTTTGAGCGTCAGCTCAAGCAATGGGATAGCGTCAGCCTCCGCAAACTCATTAGTTCCCCCGAGTCCGACACCACCGAGTCCCACGGTGAAACCGCTGTCCCAGAATGCTACGTCACCGCTGCTGCCGACACTGCCACCAGGTGTGAGTGCAAAGCCAAGTGATTCAGAGGTCAAGATCTTCCAGGCGCCGTTGGTAGCGGCTTTCACTGTTCAGCAGGACGAGCGAGGAGTCCCAAAGAGCGTTGTTCCCTTGTACAAGCCAGGCTCCGAGAACGAAGGACTGAGTCTGCAGGAGCAACTGGAATTTAGACAGCAGTTGTTGGACAAACAACTGGCAGATCTGCAAGCTCAACAGCTCCGCCAGACGCAGTTCTTGTACAACCAACAGCAGCTGTATCACGAGCAATTGAGGCAGAAGCAGAGACAGCAGTTGTACCTGCAGGAGCAAGCGAGGCTTAAGCAGATTGAGGAGGAGAGAATTCAGCAGCTCAAGCAGGCGCAGCAGCAGGTGCAGCAGGCACAGTTGCAAAATCCCCAAGGGGCGTTCAGCCAGAACAATCTGCTGACGTTTCAGCCTCCCCTCCAGACCCAAAACGTTCAGTTCCAGCCGAGTGTGAGCCTTCAGCTCCCCAACACAGCTGTTCCACCGCCATTCGCTCAATCCCCATCGGTCCAGGACCAGCTGAGGCTGCAGGAACTCCAGAGACAGCAGATAATTCAGCATCAGACCCAGCAGCTGCAGTTCCAGAGACAGCAGGCGCTCTTCCTTCAACAGCAGAGGCTCCAGCAGAGCTTCCCGGGCTTCCAAAGTGAATTCCAACCCCCGGCACCCATTTCCGCTGCGAGGTTCCACAGGCAAGAAGCCTTCGGCTCTGTTGGAAACTTCGGCACCAACGACAACAGGCAAATCATCAATAGAAATCATCTGCTCCTCGAGCCCCCCAGGCTCGCAGCTCAGGACTTTGTGACATTCAATCAGTTTGGATTCAGGCAGCAGCCCCTCAGGCCCCCAACCCCTGCCAGACAGATACAGCATCTACTCTTTCAATCTGGTGTTGCCGGGGCACTTCAATCCCCGCAAAATCTGCAGGGACGATCCAACCAAGAAGACCTCAACATTGTTTCCAAAGTTCTAGCACTTAATGTCGGCGCTATTCCTACCAAAAATCTACAGTTCAATGACGAGGGCTTCACCAGGGCGTGAGAATAACTAACAAGTTACTACTGTATTTTTATGTTTAAATTATTCCTGCTGCAAGTTCTAAGGATTCAGGGAGGGAGTCTTCAATGACATTTAGGAGTTCTCAGGCTGCTGTGTGACCAGCGTGATCTTCTCCACTTGAAAGGTGTCAATTGATCGGCGAAACATCGGTTTTAAATACATCGACGGAGATGAGCAGGTTCATCTGGGTTATTGGGGATTTCGTCTGATTGGTTGACGTCTTTTTAAATGGATCTCAGTCGTAAAGATCAGGGCTATCATTCAGGATTGCACGAGAAAATTATTTTGTGGAGGTCTATGAAAGGTCTTGTGAAGATGTTTTCATGTCGGGAAGAAGCGAAAATGTGCGAGATCGGAATAGAGATTCTTTGATTCAGTAGCGAAGTGGTAAAACGGTACAAGTCAATTTTGACTGTTGACCAGTTCTCAATGAATATCTCGGAATCTAAGGGAGATAGCAGAATTTTTGTTAAAGGCTTTTTGTAGGGCCGATTGAGAGCTACAACAAATGTAGTTACGAAAATTTCGCTATCTCCCTTAGATTCGGAAATATTCCTCAAAAACTCAACTGGAGATAAGGCGACTTAGACCGTTTTACCAATTCCCTCCTGTATTATTTCATTTTAAACATTATTAGTCGAGGTAAAAACGAGGGAAAACTTCTTCAGAAGGCGCCGGTATCTATAGTGCAATCGGGAAGACGGAAGCTGAGGCCTTAACGGGGATAATGATATTAATTACGAGATTTTCGTCGCTAGTTTTCAAACATTACTGTATGGGATCCAAACATAATGCTCTATCTCTCTCAATTCCCGTTTCATAGAGACTGTAAAAAGTTTGCGAAGAATTGTTCGGATGAGATGTATTTACGTAATCAATTATGTGGCATCTGGTACAGTTAATCACATTGTTAGGTGAATTTCTCTGTCTTTCTCGTGGAATTTTTTTGCTCGCTCTTTCATTCTGCACTGCTTTTCCGTGTATTTGATGATACTTTGTTTCATGGGGATAAATATGGTATTACAGTAAGGAGTGGAGACATCAACGCACGTAATGGAGAGTTGAGGAGCCCGAGAAGAAATGAAAAGTAGGCGGACGACGTTTGACAACAAGCAAAAACTTTTGATGCTCTTGAGAAATAATGGAGTGTCATGCCGGGTTTATTAAAATTCATCGACTCATGCAGGAATTCATCATTCGTATGACGTAATCTGTTTGAGATTTGATGAAGGAATTATGTTGAGACTTGATGCTTGTTGTGGAGTAGTGAGACACGGCAAAATGATTTTGTTGTTTTTCGTTACATGGAATAAAATTTTATTAGTTCATGTGATTTTTTAGTTTAAATTCGCATTCGCCAGACAAGTTTCTTTCGACTGAGTGACGAAAAATACTATTTGGTAGTGAATAGAATTTTTTCATATCGAATGATTGGACTTTCTTTTACTACCGGAGCTTGTATTTCCTTCCGTTGATTACGTGAATAATCAAATGATTAACGCCTCATTTATTTCCTGATGGTTAATCAGAAACAACACAACTGCAGAAATGAGTTTTCTATTTTTTTATTGAAAATCTGATTAACATTGAATAGTCTACTGTAAATGTCGAAAGCTCCTTTATGTAGATGAATGAATTTCCAAAAAAAGTCTCGACATTTTTCCTTGAAATCACTCTTCTGAAGAATTTTAATTCCTTCTGCTACTGATTTTTATATTTTTCTTTGATTAACGACCTCGATTAATACCTCATCTTCTGACTGAATAAACCACAAAGTCTCCAATTTCTCCTCAATTGTGAGAATGAATTCTGCATTCTCGTCACGAAGTGATTGATAAAACTTATAAATAACGTGCACTCTGTGGCATTACAACGTTTCTAAAAAATCTAAATATCGATAATCACTTAATTAATGTCTAATTTTCCTCTGGTTTAGCAATTTCTCTCTGAATATACAAATTCTTTTTCCCTTCTTTTCTCACATTATTTATAAACCCCATAGTTTAAACGATTTTAATTTCTTCTACTGCTGAAACTTATTTTTTCCCCCGATTAAAGACCTCGATTAATACCTCATCTTCCTTCTGACTGAATAAACCACAGTCTCCAGTTTCACCTCAATTGTAAAAACGAATTGGCCATGCTCATCACGAAGTGATTGATAAAAAATCATAAATAACGTGTACTCTACGACATTACATTTCTAAAAACCCTAAATATTCATAATAACTTAATTAATGTTCAATTTTTCTCGGATTAAGCAGAAACCACGCAATTAGCAATTTCTTCCGAAATATGTACATGCACGGAGAAAAATTTTCAGTAAAAATTACGGAACTCACAGTTCGCTCACCGATTACGGAATCGACTCAGAAAATTTAAGCGACGGTATCGTAATTTGTCACAGGATATTCAGGTAAAAATTACGGAACATTCTGGAAAAATTCCGTGACAGTTCCGTAAAATTTCCTACAACCACATTTCGCTGCGGAATTACGGAAAAGATACGCAATTTTTACTGAATATTCCTCTCCGTGTGATTCTTCTCTTTTCTACCGACATTACTTATAAACTCCCATAAACAACGAATAGTTTACCGCAAATGTCAAAAAATATTTTTTATAGGCGAATCATTTTCCCAAAAAAATATTTTTTCACATTTTCCCTTAAAATTTCTCTTCTCCCGATATAAATTTCTTCTATTCTTGAACATCATGTTTTACTTCGATTAACGACCTCGATTAAGCCTCATCTTCCCTCTGACTGACTAAACCACAGTCTCCAGTTTCTCCTCAATTGTAAAAATGAATTTTCCATTCTCGTCACGAAGTGATTGATAAAAAATCATAAAAAACATGTACTCTCCGCCATTACAACGTTTCTAAAAAATCTAAATATCGATAATCACCCAATTAATATCTATTTTTCCTCTAATTAACCATAAACTTTGAAATTACCAATTTCTCCCTAATTGTAAAAGTTTTTTCCATTTTCTTTATGACGTTATTTATAAATCCTCATAAACGACGAGTAGTCTTCGGTAATCGCTGAACCTCTGTAACGCATTTTATTCCAAGGTTGCGAGAGGTCACAGTGCAGTGGAGGATGAAAACGGTTTATATGAAATTGAAACTGAAAACTTTCCCCGCGACTTTTTTTTTAACTCCTAGCGCAAGTATTCCTCTGTATCGAAAGCCGATGAGTCGACTAGGACATTGCCAACTACCGTATGATCCTCGTGTCTTTATAATCCCTCCTCCCCCTGACTATTTCATCTTCAGTTGTGAAGGTGTCCTCAATTTCACAAACGCGTTTGGCATAGATTCCAGATTTCTCCAGTTACACGAAATCGACGACAAACGTCCGAATAAAATTGAGTTTTAGTCCTCCAATAATTTTATTTTTTTTCTCATCTCTTTCATTTCTGTGTCAGCACCACTTTTGACAGTTTTAATCTCCAATATATCTCGGATACCGTTAAATTCGAGTGAGATTGTCTGTGACTCTCTAGACCGTGGAGCTCTTTTTTCTCTACTAAGTTCTAAATCATTAGATTAGGAATAATTTAAATAACATTAAATGTGTGAATAACGGTTTAGTTTTATCGTTAATTGATATATTTTACGAGAAGAATGATTTTGCTACTTGTTTATTGCAGTAATTTATCGATAATATATTAATTCTTGTGTTTAAGGTGACACGTGTAAAAATGCCAATAAAGTATGATTAAATTACATCGTAATCATTTTTATTTTTTCCTGCATCCGAATGGGAGGGAGCCTTGTATTCATTCAAATTTAAGTTTACATGCGTCTGTATGTGTGTGTGTGTACGTATCTAACAAAGTTTTACGTCAATTGTTCGCTACACTGATAAAATGATTTTCTTATTCGACTCACACCGATAGAATCTCATTTATTCCAAATGACATTCGTTAACTATTAACAAACGGTAGAGTTGAATATGAACAAATAAATATTCGTTAATAGTTAACGAATAGTACACTTGAAAGGTGAAAGTCGAGTCAAACAAAGCTCCTCAAAATAATTTGGTGCCTTTGTTTACTATTAACGAATGAACATTTGATGAGACCGAATAGACCCCAGCCCCAACCAAATACATTTTTTAATAACTAATCCTTTCTATCAGTGTAATGAATGGATGGAATTGAATCTTTTTTTTTTCAAATGTATGCATTGTTGAGCCTTATCAATCGCCATTAATTAAAATTTAATTCGTCGATGTTATTTTAAATTTCTGATTTTTTTCGAAAATCGGTTGTCTCACGATAACTAAAAAAATTTTATGAATTGATTCAATAATGACTTGAAAATTTTGTTTAGATGTTCTTTTGACCAAGATCACGACGGATGCGATAGCAATAATCGTTATTTTGATTTATTTGAAAATTTACAAACATTTTGTATTTTTTTAAAATTAGAATTCTGGGGATACCTTTGCATTGATAATAATAATAATAATAATAATAATAATAATAATAGAATAATTAAAGTAATTGATAATAATTCAAATGTAATAAACTATTTATTTTATCATTTATTTGCGTTTAGTCAACTATTTGTCATTTATTTATTTCATGTTTTTATTTGCGTTAATCTAAACTGATATTCGTATTCAACGAATTAATATTTTGTGAAAATTATTGACTAGTCTACTATCTGCATATCACTTATCAATTGATTCGATGTGTCTACTTTATTGTCTAGATTTAATTTGAAAAGTAAAAGTTAAGGGTCCACGATCTCCCATATACCCACGGTAGAAATTACCTTGAATTCACGGGAAAACGTCCCGTATATCCACGGTCAAAGTTACCGTGGAGCGTGTGAATAGACACTGCCCGCGCTTATTTCTCGTTGGTTTCATTCGTCTAAAGTGGCAAATTTAATTCCTGACTAATTCAATTTTGAGATTTAAAATTATGATTGTTACAATTACAGCGCGTTGTAGCGCCCGTTCGGTCTCCTCTCCTCAAGGGGTAACGGAAGCCGTCGCAAAAGTTTGTTTTCTCAACGAATTTTTCTCCGATTGTGTCTAATATAAATGGTTGAAATTTTCACCAAGTAATGAGGAGAGTCTAAGCGTTGAAAAAACTGAAAAATAATAGATGGAGGACAACATTTTGTCTCCCCTCAGTACTTGGTGAAAATTTTAGACATTTATATTGGACACAATCGGAGAGAAATGGGTTGAAAAAACAAACTTTTGCGACGGCTTCCGTTAACCCTTAAAATCCAGTGACAAACTCAATGAACATCAGATTGAACGCAGAACGTGTCGCTGCGTATGGACTATTGGCTCCCTCTGCGCATGCTCGGCCACCGCTCGAACACTTCGACCACGAAATCTGATTGCTGTCAGATTCAAGGCTCAGTAGTGCCGGGGATTACCTACGAATTTTCAATTACCCTGAAAGAATAATTTTCACGTGTCTCTGACACATCGTCGATACCCCGTACTTCGCGTAACAACCGCAATGACATCGGAGAAAAATTGTGTTCCATATTCGCAGAGCGGTGACAAGGATCAGGATGAGGTTAGTTGCATGCTGAGCCACAGTTCAATATAAAAAAATTCCAATCACTCGTTATTTTTTTCACATAAAGTTTCATCGATTATTATTCTCAGGGGATTGGAGCCCATTCTGAGGGCTTGAGAGCGGCTGTGATTGTATTTTTTGAGGTTTTAATTGTCAATGTTTACGTATGACTCTAGGTTATGAGCGAATATGTCATGTGATCGATAGGTACTGCATTATTGGGGTGTTCATATGTGATATAAATATGTTTAGGGGGTGGGGGTCTTGATTTCGTAGTTTCTTATTTCAAGGGCGTGCCTATAAGGTTTTCTTCAGTTTTTAGTTCTCTTCAGTCAAATTTTATTGTGTATTTCCATTAAAATTAAAATATTACTTAATTAGAAATTATAAAGAGAGAACAAAATTCCTAATACAATATTTAATTGAGGGAGGTAAATTATTTTCGATGGCTTAAATCTTGGAAATTTTTTTTTTAGTCTGGAAATTTAGGCTCAAATGGGGCTCATGTTAGACTACAAAAGTAGAAAAGCATTTCACTGGGGAACAAGTGGAAAATTGCCCTTGTATTGCATATAGTATAGTTATTTTTTATAGTAAATTGGCAATATGTTTCCGAATGGTTATTTTACACATTATTTCCTTCGATTACGTATAATTCATTGTTCAATTCATTTTATTACATTGAATAAGATTTCTTTTCAGCTAATTTTGTCAGATTTTCAACTTAGTCGAATGTTATCATCATTATTCTTGTTATCGCAATGGCATTACAATAAACATTTTAAGCTATGATCGAATTCATTTGAAGCAAGATATTCAAGGATATCCCCGGAATTCTGATTTTCAAAAAATACAGAATTTTTGCAAATTCGGTGAAGAGGACATCCAAAAATTTTTTTTAAGCCATTATTCAATCAATGCAGAACATTTTTTAGTTATCGTGGAACAACTGATTGTCGAATAAATTCGAAAAGTAAGAAAACTAATTGATGAATTAAATTTTAATTAATGACGATCGATAGGGCTTAACAATACCTATTTGAAAAAAAAAAGATTCAATTCCATTGGTTCATTAACGAACAATTAACGAAAAACTTTGTTACATACGTGCATACGTACACGCACACGTACGCACAAGTTCTAAAAATCATATTTTTAGACTTTTCGGGTCCATAAAACACAAAAATCTAAAACTCAAATTTGTCAAGGACTACAAAGCTTCCATTCGGAAGCAAAAAATAGCCAAAGTACTTGGATATCCTTAAACCGATTGAAGAAAAATTACTCTCCTCAAGTAAATCTGTTTCAGTTATTGAGGAGATTCTTCAATAAATGCACCGCAGGCTTGACGCAACGCTTGCAATTGTCAAAATAATCGAAACACAGTTGAGTGATTGATTCAAACAATTACACGCGTCGCGTTAATTCTGCTTTGCGCTTCAATAACCGCGCGTCATTCGTTCACGTCACGTTGCTAAGGTAATTAATAAGACGTACTTGAAATGAGGAGGACGTACGTCGATTGTAGAAATTTTCTGCTTTAGAAATTTTGTTTTCCGTGCAGGGGAGAAATTTTGCGCCTTCTCTTCGAAATAAAATCTATTGTTTTTCCCCCGTTTGAAGGGGTTTCCGAGGCCTAAAATGACCGATGGAGGCGGTTTGATCCCCTTTTGTTTCTCTCATTCGACTCTCATGATTATTTGACGCTCATTTAATTTTAGTTTTGAGGCCTCCGTGGCCATGATTATTAATATCATTGGCTTCCGGATGGATGCCGCGTTTGGTTTCAGCTTATTTAATTGTTTCACTCATCCGAAAAACGTCTTGCAGCATTTGGACAGTCGATTAATGGTCATCTACCAGGAGTTTTCACAGAAAACAAACAACAAAAGTGTTTCGCTTATTGAGAAAAACATCGAGGAAGACTTACTAAATGATCGATCGTAATTCTCTCGATGAGACTTTGGGGGCTTTCAATTAATGGAGTTAACAAACGGAATGCATTGGGCAGGCTATCAATCATGTAAACACGGGGCATTAGTCCTCCAACGAATGACGAATTAAAGAAAGACATTCCACACACAAATTCACTCTCGTATGATTTATCGGACGGTTTATGAGGGAAAACGGAGAACAGAGAACATTTTATCATTGTTTGGAATTTTTTAGTGATAAAAGAATGTAGTCTAGAGTCGGTATTAGGTGTTGGCTCGCTGTGGAATTATCTTCGTAATGAGTAATTTCACAGGAATCCGTTGTATACTCGAGCTACCAAATTATTGACATTCGCGCATTACCAGTTTGGATTTTCGAAGTTTATTTGAATGGCGTTCACTGAATAATTGATTTTTCTCCAGGGCAATCTTTCCCGTGTGGTTTATGTCCATCACCAAATATTACAATTACGTTAAATTATGAGATGATTATGCTGGATGCGACCTTGAATGGACACTCTTCATTATTTTTCAATTTTTTCAAATTTGAGATTTTCTTATGTAAAATAATCTGGAATAATTTTAAATGTTAATTGTCAACGGAGTTCATTCAAACGGAGAGAAATTTTCTAGAAAAATTCTAGTACGAGTACTGAAAAAAATTACAATCCACCGGCTGTGAAAAATTCTAGTGCTGTTAAGGTAAAATTTCTTGGTATTTCTGATGAAATTTCCGGGGATTTCTGTGAAATTTTCACAGAAATACCGGGAAAAATTCACATTTTCCACAATAAAATTTCTAGTTCCGGCACTGGAATTTTTTCCTGGCCATCAATTTGCGCCTCTTTTCCCGTGCTAGCACTAGAATTTTTCTAAAAAATGTCTCTCCGTGCAAAGTGATATATACCATTATTTGCCATCCAACAACTCAACATAATTCTAATATTTGGAGATGGACTTGCACCTGGGAATGACTGGCCTGGAGAAATGCGCTGCTAAAAAAATAAATTCTTCCAAGAAAATAATTCCCCGGCAAAAGTAATTTTTTTTTCTCAGTGCAATCAAGGGGACTCTTAGTTCCATGAAATTTTGCTCTCAAATCCCCAGCTCTCCGGATAAATAGCAAAAAATTATTCCCAAGTTCTTAATTCGAGTAAAAGACGAACAATGATTCCAGAAACTTCTCCAGCCATTCACGTACCTACTCCAAGTACCGGGTAAGCAGATACGTGCGAAACTGGCGCATGCCATGAATTATTGGTTAAAAATACCGTTTGAGAAGCTCCAGGCTGTCGGCGATATAACGCAGATGCTGCACAATTCCAGTTTACTGTGAGTAAACACAAGTACAAGAGATGTTTATACAGTTCGGCCTTCCTCACCTGATCTCTCAACCCCATAGTCTCAGCTTACACTTGCAAGAACTCCTCCCTTCACCACAATATCCAAATAGTGGGAAAGCCGTGATAAATGCGGGGAGAATGAGGAATGATTTTTTGCAGACTAGACGATATTCAAGACAACTCGATTTTGCGGCGAGGGATTCCCGTGGCTCACTCGATCTTCGGTGTTGCTAGTACAATTAATGCGGCTAATTACGTTTTATTCATAGCACTCGAGAAAGTGCAAGCTCTCAATCACCCTGAGGTACGTTGAGGGCTCTTTCGATGTGTCGAAACAGGTACTCCATGAGATTTTCATTATTTTTTACTCATAGGCAACTCAAGTCTATACAGAACAGTTGCTGGAGTTGCACAGAGGACAGGGCATCGAAATTTACTGGCGGGACAACTACATATGCCCGTCTGAGGCTGAGTACAGACATATGACGATGAAAAGTAATTGTCAAATTTAATTGAAGGAATTGAATTCAATTAATGTAGAGTACGAATTGTGAAACGAGATGAGAGAATTTCAAACTGAGATCTGCTACTGGTATTTTTTTTAACACTGAGCTTTCTCTGGAATTCAATAACTCTTGGAAAATTTCACTACCTCCTTTGCGTGTGGAGATGTTCTGCAAAGACTCATCTGGTCTAGACTTGACAAGATCAACACCAAGAACTTTGAAGTTTTCACAAAAAAAATCTTATCTGAAAATCACGTTTCGCGAAATATTTCATGAAATTTGTAGTTAAACAAATTGACATTTGATCAGAACTTTTAGCCAAGACCAATTTTACATTAGACTATCCAAAAAGGTTGTCTTATCTGAAGCTGTAAAAACTGAAGTTAATTCGCTAAACCGTTGGGAAATTTTTCAAGAATTAAAAAAAAATAAAAAAGGAAGTTTTTGAGGAAGATGGAATAATTCGAAAGTTGCTACTGTTGAAAATCAAGATGTTTTATATAAATTATTGGTGAATAATAAATTCATTTGTAAGAACGGAAGCTTCGAAAAGAATCTGGTTCTAAAATATCGTTTAGATGATGCTGATAATGAACGAAAATTTCAAAACTTTCTGACGTCATTCGATTGAAAAATCTCAGTACGAAGCTGTAAATAGTACTTATTTCACTTCATTATAAAATTGGAAATTCATGATTTCGGATTTTAAAAAAAATGTTCATTTTCTTCTAGAAACTGGAGGTTTATTCAATCTGGCTGTGAGGCTTATGCAGTTATTTTCAGATTGCAAGCAGGATTTTTCCATGCTGGCTGGAATTCTAGGGCTCTATTTTCAGATCAGGGACGATTACTGTAATCTCTGCATGCAGGAGGTAAGAAAAAAGAAGATTCGCGATATTAGAGATGCGTTATTGTTCCAGTAATTCAACGCAATCACTGTTATTTTCCCGTTAATTAATTGAATCGGCAATTCTTCATTGCGAGGGGTATTTTTATCAATGCCTACAGAATTCCATTATCTGTGGAGAGAATTTAATCAGTTGCAGGAGAAATCATCCGACATTATCTTCTGAGATCAGGGGTTATTAAGATAACACCAATATTAACATACATTCCTCTTTCAGAAGTGATTTTTTGAGGGAAAAATGTCAAGAGGTATTCTTCACATAGAATATTTTTAGAATGTTCGAAAAATTGGCATAAATTGATTAAAAAAAGTTAATCTGACAATCTCCTTATTCAATAGGTAAAAATAGAGATTCCAGATATTTGATATCGTCACCCTGAATTAATTATCCATCCAGAATTATCACAGTTATCATCAGAAAGAGTCAATTTCACATTGTGGAAGTTATTTCTGGTAATACCCCCGTTCAGATCTCGCTTCACCCTAAGATATTCATCCTTTTCATTTAATCTTGTGACATTTCTCCTTCAAATCGCTTGGTAAAGAGATAATAGCATAGTGAAGTCATTCGGAAAGAAAACATGAAAATCTCTTTTATCTTCTTTAGAAAGAATTGAATGAGCTACAATAAAAATCTTCTGACATTTTTCTCTGATATCATTCATTTTTCATTGAGATCATGACCTGGGGAACGAACATATCGATATCTTTTATGTTTCCCTTACTAAAAAATTCTTCTTCAACTCTAGAAAAAAGATCGGGATTTTTTTACAGAATTTTCCAATTTGAACAAAAAGACTTTCATATTGATCGAAAACCGCTGTAAAGCTTAATTCATCTCATTCCACTAGTAACGAAGTGGTAAAACGGTTTATGTCGACTTATCTCCCAGTTGAGTTTCTAAGGAAAATTTCCGAATCTAACATGGATAGCGAAATTTTCGTAATCACATTTGTTGTAGCTCTCAATTGGTTCTACAAAAAAGTTTACAACATAAATTTTGCCATCTTTACATTCCGACATTTTAATTGGCCAATAGTAAAAATGAACTTGAACCGTTTTACCACTTCGCTACTGAATTAATCGTGTTTCTCTAGTATTGCGAGAATAAAAGCTACTGCGAAGATCTATCAGAAGGGAAATTCAGTTTTCCGATAATCCACGCTATTCACAGTAAACCAGAGGACAGACAAGTTATGAGTATCCTTTTACCAACAAAGTGATCGATGAAAATGTTTCCAATCTCCGAACTGATCCTTAATGATTAATGACAGATATACTGCGCCAAAGAACAAAAGACGTGGAGGTGAAGAAATACTGCGTAACACTTCTTGAAAAATTCGGCTCATTCGCATACACGAGAACTGTCCTCGAGGAGTTGGACAGAAAAGCGCGTGACGAAGTGGAGAGATTGGGTGGAAATCCACTGTTACTTAAAGTACTCGATGGTTTACTTAATTGGCCACAGAGTACTGAAGTCGAAATGCAACAGGTGGAGTCGTAAAATATTTTATTGCCTCATTAAAAAACGAGATAAAGCGGGATAACAAAGGACGAAATAAGTTATCTAGTACTTATTAAATGAATTTCGAGGAGATGGGATGCCATTTAGGGACACACATTGTTGGAAAAAATTGGAATTCCGTGGACAGTTGACTAGCAATTATCAATGAAGTTCAAGGGATGTTGGAGAAATAATTACAGCGTTGATCCAATTGTCGTAAGTGAAGACGTTTCGCTAATTATTTAGCTTCATCAGGCTCTGGAAAGATCGAATACAAACAAATGTTAAAAGGCCACAGGTAGACAAAACTGAAGTGTCACAACGTAAGGAACAAGTTCTCGCCAGTTCTTAATATCTGAATAGGCGAAAAATATTCAGATCCTATCCCTGTATTTACTTTTCAACTCTACTCATACGGAATAGGTTCTAATGACTATGAATTTTTCCGTCAATATTATAAGAATTACATGTATATTCCATTCTATTATTTTTCACTGAAGATTTCCAAAAATCCTGTACTTTGCAGAGTAATATTTCATTTTCTCAAATCACAAAAATTATGAAATTGCCAATTTATCGTCAACGGTCATAATTAGACGCCAAATGGAATTTGAAAATTACTTATTTGAATATTTCACAATGTGAAAACCCGCGTCCAGTAGAGGGTTTGATTTTCCTCCACTCCTTTATTTTTTTCTATTCTGTCTTTCCAGAGGCTGATGAAACTAAGATAAATGGCGAAACGTCGCACTTACGACAATTTCATCAATGTTATAATTATTTCTCCAACATCCCTTGAAATTTATTGATAGTTATTGGCATCATGGAGATGAACAGTTTCATTGGTTGAATAGTAATTTTCAGAGGAGTAACATTAAATTCGATTTAGGGGAGGAAAAATCATGAAATTTCAAGTTTCACTGGAAATTCTATTGCATTTCTAATTACCCTGCTCACACATTTGACATAACAGATGTGTAAAGCTAAACGTGCGGAAATTATGGAGAAATATTGTCTAGATGTCTGATGATAATTAATTGAAAATCAGGTGTTTTCACGACAAATTTTTCAGTCATGACGTCATAAAAACGTCAGGTAACGCTTCATTGGTCGAGGGTGAAGAGAGTGGGGAGTTGTCCTCCATTGGCCGAGGCGCACCAAGGTCGGCTCGAGCCATTCTGTGATTGGTCCAGCGCTCGACCGTCCCTGTGACGTCATTAGCGGCTTCAAAACGTTTGAAATCTTCGACTTTCAACAATTAATCAGTAATTAATGAGCAATGTTTTGAAGGTTTGTGAATGAGAAATGATTTATTTCGATCCCAAACTTGAGATTAGATTAGAAAATTGAAAAAAATTCATGTAAGTTCCCTATTTCCGTGATTTCTACCAATTTTCATGGAATAATTGAACTGAAATTCGCAGTTTCCATTAATTTTTCTCTAAAATTTCCAATCTTTAATTACGAAGTTCTTTGAAATTCCAGTGGAACTAGAACTCATCAAAAATTTCCAAAAGTGTATCAGAAATTTCACTAATAAATTTTTAACAGTGCAGTCTGCGTCGTGCCAATGACTAATTCATGATTTTTCTGTGACAATAATTGTAGGGGTCCATATTTACCAATTACGCTTCGATTTTGGGCTTAATGTAGTTGAAATAACCTATTAATACTGGGTATTCGCCTTTTATGGAATTAATAGGATAATTAATGATCCAGAGATGTGGATTTCTCCACTTCTTTTTACCTCTTCATTACTGAATTAAAATTATCATTATTCTAAGAATCATTGGATTTCCAGCGATTAACGATCTACATTAATATCAAAATAGTAAATTCCATATCAAAGTCATAGATCTCACGATTTTTATTTTTGTTGAATAACATTTTTGCTCATTCGGTATCAGTACATATACAACAAACATAATTTAATATATGACGATAGCGAATAAATCTTTGATAGCAGTTTTACATTATTATCATAAATGTTTAATGTGAAACATAGTCACTTGTTTTACGTATAAAATTGTTATAATAAAGACTCTCAGCTCGATCTTCACGTCTCATTTAACTCTTGTCACTCAATTTGCCTCATTCATACATATTGTACAGATAAAATTACGATCACCTAAAAACTTCATGTATCCTCAATGCTACATCAACAAAATTCACGTCAACTCCTGTAACTTGCACCGTAATCCTCTTATTGAACTTTTTTCAAAGTTTTTTGGAGTCTCTCCTCCCCAGAAACAACTTCTGATCCCGCAAAATTACCTCTGCTCAATCGTGAGTCCGAACAACGTGAAAATTTAGGTCACAGATGTTAAATACGCTTGAGAAATCAATGTTTCTCAAGACACAGACTCTTCACTTGAAGCTGCAAGGCTCCTTCATTATTGTCATCCTTTCCCAAGGACGTTGAAGGTGGCCATGATTCGATAAATGCCGATGTACCAATGACATCGTTCCTCTGCAACTAGGATAACGTTGCTATCTGACATGTGCGCTGTTCAGGCTCACTGTCCTCGTCAGTCTCACTGGCCCACGAGGGCTGACGCTCTTGTCACATCTCCCCGTCACTCGTTGGACCGGAAACGCCGTCGTCCAATACTTCAGTTACCTAATTTGCAGAAAAGGATAATATTAACCACCTGTTCTCACTTGAGGCGGAGACAATATCCCAGACGGTTTTGCTTCCGAATGGAAGTTTTGTAATCGCTCAAATTTAAGTTTTGGATTTTTTGTGTTATATAGAGCCAGTATGATCCAAAAAGTCCGGAAATGTAATTTTTAGACCTCGTCTGTAGCACTAATCGCTGTTCTGATTTATTTAAAAATTTCCCATAATTTGGTATTTTTTGAAAATTAAAATTCCAGTGATATCTTTGAATATCATGCTTCAAATGAACTCAATTATATCTTGAAAAGCTTCGTTTCAATGTCATTAAGAAAAAAATAATAAAATAAGAATGTCAAAAAACAGAACTCATATCTCAGAAATGAGGCCGCGTTTAAAAACGAAAACGCGAGCTACGAAAAAGGCTCTCATAAAAATTTATCTCTCTTGCTTTCACAATCATTCACGGAAAATTGAATAGAATTCACTCATGAATTCGTTTCTGGATTTTGTTTCATTCAATTTTAATCACTTTGTCTTCCGATCTTCCGTATTTTCTTCTCTCACTAGAAATTTCTTTTGATAAAATACTTCCCGATCATGTTCCCTGAATGCTCATTCACTATCGCTTGTTAAAAATCCATTCAAATTAATTTTAAAAAAACAGGCTGTTTCATTACCAAGACTTCTTCAAACCGATCATAAGCCTCTGGTCTCGTATGCAAAAGGCTCTCGCCCATAGAATCGCCGGGAGTTCTCGCACTCCCTCGTTGGCTCAATGCACTGGAGATGACGTAGAGCAGAGATAAAGCAGCCAGCAGTCCAGCTGGAAAATGAAAACAAAATAAATAACTGCGACTATTTAATTAATTTGCGAGCCATTTACTCTGTATCTTCTACTTTAGTCTCTCCCCTAACGCTATCTCCTCTTTCCCCCATTCTCTGTCTGAGTCGACTCTGCATGGAGATTAAGAACTGCCAGAGGTACCATTTTCTCTTATATTTATTTACATTCCATTTATTCGTCTTGTTTATAACGTTCTTTTTTTCTTCTTCTCACCGGCGACAAAGGAGAGCCACAAGTTGTGCGGTTTCCAGGCCAAAATACAGGACAGTGGTAGATAAAACAAAACTCTCCGCCAGCCTCTGGTTACCATTAACACAGACAACCAACACCGTGAACAATGAGACTCGTCATTTCTGGAACATAGACATGTACTTTGGCCTCCATCTTCTCATTATTTCACATGCAAAACACCACTGATTAATTGCGGAAGTCGTTCGTGAAGAAGATAACGGACATTTTCTCCCACAATCAGTCCACTGATAGAAGAATTTAGTTGCTGTTAACGAGGCTTCTTAAATATTGCCACGACTCGTTAATAATTGAGGAATAGAGGTAATAGTTAAGAAGGCTCGTTAACAGTAAGTAAATCGTTCCAACTTTTCTGTCAGTGTGCATGAAGAAATTGTATATTTTGTGGTATAATATAAAAAATACTAGGGAGCTACGCCCCCTCCCCGCTCAGCTCGCCAACCCCCGTATAACCCACATATGATTCCCATCGTCCTTATTCTGACCTTTGCGACCCTTAATCTTACTCTCGTCACTCTTAATCTCGCCAATATGACCCTTAATCTGGCTAATATGACCTTTAACCTGGCCCTCATTCTAAGCCTTGTGACCCTTAATCTGATCCTCGTCACCCTTAACCTGACCGCTGGGACCCTTATTCTCATGAGCCTGATTCTGAACCTCGTGACTCTTATTCTGACCCTTATGATCGTTATTTTGATCCTCGTGACCCTTATTCTGATACTCATGAGCTCGATTCTGAACCTCGCGACCCTTAATCTGACCGTTGTACACCTTATTCTGACCCTCGTGACCTTTATTCTGACCCTCGGGACCCTTATTTTGATCTTCATGACCCTTATTCTGACCCTCATGAGCCTCATTCTGAACCTCGTGACCCTTATGGCCATTATTTTGACCCTCATGAGTCTGATTCTAAACTTCATAACCCTTACGACCGTTATTTTGACCCTGGTGACCCTTATCTTGACCCTTGTGATCTTCAATTCAGTAGCAAAGTGGTCAAACGGTTTAAGTCGATTTTGGCTATTGGCCAGTTTTTAGTGAATATCTCGAAATCTAAGGGAGATAGCAAAAATTTTCTCATAACCTTTTTAGTAGCACCCAATTCGCTCTACAAAAAAGGTTATTATGAAAATTTCGCTATCTCCCTTAAATTCGGAAATATTTCTGGAAAACTGAACTAAAGACTAAATTGACTTAAACCGTTTGACCCCTTCGCTACTGAATTGTGGAGTCTTGATTTCGAGTACCAAATTTTTAACACCAGAAGTCGATTTGAATTTTTATAATATAGAGAGAACCAAAAGAATAAATTGTATAAAAAAATTGAAGTTATCGATTTCATTCAATTAAAAATTCCTCCAAATAAACACTCGGGAAATCTGCGAAGTGTTTCAATATCAATATTAAATAAAATATTAATGATTGATATTTTTAACAATTTGGCAAAAAGTCCCTGGAATTTTGAATAAAAATCCAATACAATTTCCCAGCAAATGCATTCGTTTTTTTTTTTGGTTTTTTTCGTACGCGTTCAACTCACAAAAAGATATCACAAGTTCGAAAGGGAATTGTAATAATGGTTAAGATGATAAATCTGCAAATGAGGATTGAAATATTCGTCAAAGAGTTTCCGTAAGACGTAAAAGTAATAAATAATTTCCATCTGGAGATGAAAATTAAAGGAAATAAAAAAAAAATCTCTGTATTTCAATCTACCTACTACCTTCTTTTCCATAATACTGTTACCACAATCTCCTCTAGGAGTAGAGGGAGGTGGGAGAAAAAATATAACCAAGTAAAAGCAGAAGAAAAAAGTAAAACGGAGATTGGAATAAGAGAGGTCGGTACCTTCATTTCGTGGCCACGGTTTTCTACTTTGCTTGTAGTTTAATACTTTGGCTCCGTGGTTTAATACTATTAAATTAATTCCACAAACGAGTTCGGGTAAATGGTTGGGAAAGAGTATTTTTCTATCAACGTATGATTCATATTCTGTGGAAAAATTAATTCTAGGTTCTTTTTGGGGATTTGAATTCGTATTACGATTTTTTTGGAAGCACCGACGTTTCGATAATTGGAAATTGGTGCAATCACAGGTAATCGAACGTTACAGAACCTCCAGGGAATAGTATGGGGTTGTATTACGTCAGAGCGTTTTATTCCAATTTAATGGGAAATATTATTGAAGGGAAACCACGAAGCTTTCAATTGCGAGTTCATGATATGTATAACGAACACGATCATTAGAGTAAGTATAACAGACGATGACTAGTGCTTTCAAATTGTTTTTTTAGATACTTCTGTATCGTAACAACAAAGGAGTTATAAATTACATTGGGTAGAGTGATCGATTTCCTAGATATTTTCAAAGAAACACGTAACATATGGAGATTAATTTTAGAGCGGAAAAAATCATTAATTCAAGGACGAAAAGTCTTCTACTGAAATCCAGAATCAAGATTTTCTCGTGAATATCTCGAACGAATGGGCAAAGTAGAACATAACATAAGAAAACTGAATACCATTCTATGAAATATGAATAAATAAAATATTGATATTCCTCTAATACTTGAATAAAAAAAGTGATTCGACGTGCCCGCCGACATAAAAGAGAAAAACCCATTTTCTAGCCGATTATCCCTTTCTGATTCTTTTTTCCTTTTCTTTTCATAATATGGAGAAATAGATTTTTTTAATTTTCAGGAATACATGGAGAGGTTTTTATACTACCCGAACGAAATTTTGAATGACTTTTGTTTTGTGTTTATTTTGATCATAAGAAAAACTTTTTAGTGATCTTTAACATAATTCCTCTTCATTTAATGTTGTAACTTGTTAATTGAGGAGAAAAAAATATATAATAGGAATAAAAATGAATAAAAGTAAATTAATCGAATTGTGAAGACGGAAATGGAAATACAATAAAATCGTATAAATTAACGCATGTAACAAATAATTATATTAACTTGTTTTTCATACGTAAACATGTTGACCAGCATAAACATAAACACGTTCGAAAAAAAAGGAAAGCATAAAGGATGAGAAATGAGAGGGGGCGGGGGGATAAACTTCTGGGATGTCTAGATTTACAAACTCCCCTCATGATCCTATTCTCAAGAATCTACGTTAGAATAACATTGACTGCATTTGTAAATGTGGGGGTGATATACTAATGCGTGTCACGTACCTGAGACAAATCTGCACGAACAGTGTGATGGCCCAGGTAATCTCGAGGAAGAAAATCAGGGCTGAAGCCACTCTGAAATGTACGATATACGATACGTATGAGACAAATCAAGTGCGGGACAATGGGAATCGTGAGTTATGTCTACGATTTTATGAGATCATTCCTATTTTGAACGGAAATTGAGGAGATTGAGGGAGACGAGTTTTAGGAGAGGTGGATCTAGTTTTTCGAGGATGAATTTAATTATGTTGGGATTCAGTTTTTTTTGAGTGTTTGAAGTATAAGCGAATAATTTCTCTTGATTTTTTTTCTCGTATACCAGTAGTTAAACAAAAATTCACCCTAAACTTCAGAAATGACGCAACGTATTCATCTTTCACGAATGCTTCAACCAAAATTTCAATTTTTGTCATTTTTTCGCTTGAACTATTGTAATTTTTATTGCCAAATTGTTTCAACACTTGTGTCTATTGAGAAATTCCACAGTTCTGCTGCACGTTTTTTAAAATAACGAAAATTTAACAGAAAAACAATATTAATTGATAAATTTTCCATTGTAACATATTCTGTTGAATAGTTTAGTTTATATTTGTTATCAAAATGCTCTGGCATAAATTTTCCAACTTGTTTCAATTAATTTTTGCTATAATCTTGACAAAAGTTCGTGACAGCCCAATGCGCTATACAATTGATAAAATTCTAGGGAAATTTTCAACTGATTTTTTTCTCGTTAATTAACAGTTTTATGTAATTAAATTGCAGGATATGAATCCTGATAATTTAACAACAATTGCTGTCGCCCGTCGCTTGACAATTGAGTGAATTGTGATAACATTAGCTCAACGTTTTTCCGCAAACTACTCCTCTAAAAATGACAATGAATGATTGATTCAATTTCAAAGTTTCTCTTGAAAAACGTTTTTTTTTTGGTGATAGTGCGTGATTCGATTTACAAGTGCATGTTGAATTATCCTCACGTAACGTAATAACCCATGACGTGTCGATGGTAAGCGATATCAGCTCCAACTCCGCACACAACTGCAACAGAGTGAAAAAAAACCCAAAACTTTACTTTCTGAAAGTTTCTGCAGCAAAAAATCCTTAAATCACACTGACAAAGGATCTTAAATAAATTGGATTAACTCCAAGTTCCCACATGTACGTCTGCACGCTGGTTCCAACTACTGCCAGAAATTTACATCCCCTAAACAACATCTTCCGCGGTTGACTACAACCTTGCCTCGAAATTATTCAAAAAGTCCATCCACTTCCATCAATTTATTAAAGTTCCACTGTTACTCTCACCCTGAATAATACATCATTTATTGCTCGGCTACAAGTTGGCTGTTATCAGAGGATAAAGTGGGTTAGCATCACCCAGGGGAGTGTGTGACACACGAGAAAACATGAAATTTGTTGGACAAAGTGTAGTCATGACTCGGGATAATATAATTCAAGTCTGGTGGAGATTGTAAACTGCTCAACTTTTATTTCTCGACACGCAAACGAACATTTTGAAGGTGACTTGTTAGTGCAGTGTGACTTTTTATCACAATTCACGTATTTGCCTTTGAAAATCACGGCTCGAGTGGTCAAATAAGTCAAGTCTGATACGAAATCTTTACTAATTATCTCGGTTTTTCTTTGTAAATTCTAGTTTCAGAAAAAAATGGAGGGGATTTTTTTTGTAGAAGAGAACATCTCGTAGGAAGTAGGGTCTTTGAACGTTTTGTTTGTAAGATAATCAAATTAGATTTTATTGTTACAAATTTTTAATTATGGAAACAATTTTTATTTCGTGAGATAAAAGTTGAACTCACTGTTGATGAATTTTCTTAATTAACTTAATTTTATTTTTGTTTTGAAATTGGATTGGATTGAATTGAATGAAAACAAGCGGGAAATTGCTCTTGTATTACATCTAGTATTGTTATTTTTACTATTAAATTAACAATATACTTCCGAATGGTTATGTTACACATTATTTACGTTTATCATGTCCAATTTATTGTTTATTTAATTTTATTAAATTGAATAAGATTGCTTTTTAGTTGAATGTTATCCTCATCGTTATTCTTATTCTCCCTCTCTACTATACAACCAATTGGCTATTACAGTTCTATCTCTCCCCTTAGCCCTTCGATAAAATGTTAATAGACAAATTTTATTTATACATAATTGAATGAATTTGGAACATCACATTTGAAAAAACCATCAGAAAGCTCACTTTCAGGAAAATTCATGACAAATTAGAAATTTTCAACAATCATCATAAAAATCAAATCAACTAATATAGCTATCGTAATCTTTTTTTAACTTCGACTTAATGGAGCACGAATGGAGCAATTTGAAGCACGATATCCAAAGATATCTCGGGAATTCTGATCTACAAAAAATACAGAATTTTTCCAAATTTTCAAATAAATCAAAATAACGGTTATTGCTATCGCCTTCATCTTCAAACTCGGTCAAAAGGACATCCAAACAAATTTATTTAGCCATCATTCAATCAATTCAGAACTTTTTTTTAGTCATCGTAAAAGAAACAATTTTTGGAAAATTTAAAAAATAACAAAATTCATGAATGAATTAAATTTTCATTCATGACGATTGATAGGGCTCAACAATACCTACATTTGAGGAAAAAAAGATTCAATTCCATCGATTCATTAGCGAGCAATCGACAACACAAAAAATTCAAAACTTAAATTTGAAGGATTACAATGCTTCCATTCAGAAGCAAAAATGGAAATTTCGGTGTTTCAAAACGGAAATACAGTGTTTCCATTCGGAAACGAAAATCCCAAAAAAAACATTAACACGAGAAAAATTCCCCAGAATAATCTTCACGTGAAAAACCAAATCCAAAATATCTTCTCAAAATGATCCCTCCACCCCGAAAAATTCCCCACAACATTGACTAACGAAGGCAGACTGCAATTAATTCAGTCGGTTGCCCACGCAAGTTAAGTGATCCTTGATTCGTTCAGCGTTAGAACACGAGCAATTAAAACTGTGCATCTTTGAAAAATAATTTTCGTACTTTTCAGGTGGAAAACAGTCAAGTACCCAGTGAGCCTGAAAAAATAATCGAGAGCCCCCTCGAGCCAAACTCTCGACATTAATGATTGATTCGCCCCGTCATACAATTCACAAGTTTTTCTCTCAAACTCAGGGACTAATTAAATCAATATTGATTTAATTACTGGAGAGCAATTTCCGTCTTTGTGCAGAATGTTATTCTGAAGTTGGAGGGCTGGAGTAATTCCTGGCTGCTCTTATGTTTGTCCGATTGCACCTGGAATTTTTCTACTGCCATTCGCTGGGCATTTCGCTGGATTACTATTAGGGACCGGTATTATTAAATTTGAAGCCACTCACGTAGTCTCCCGATTGGTGGAAATGAAGGACACATGGTGCATGAGACCGGGGGAAGGGGAAAGCGTGAAAATTCCCTGAGAATGGTAGAATGGCCACTGTCACAGAGGGGGAAAATTCAATTTCATTCATATCAGACCAGTGGCCAGAAATTTTAGTCCTTTCAGCGTTTACCGTTGGCGTAATTGTGAGTGAATTTTTTCCCGCGTTTGGAGTTTCTTTTGAAAAAATAATCACCAAAGGCTTGTGATAATTCAGGAACTTTTGGTTTCGATTCCTTCGGCTCATTGCGAGAAATAATTCATCAGCTGAATAATTGATGTTCATGTAGCGAATGAGATAAAATGGGCTCATAACAATTGCATGAACCTGATATTGGTGGAATATTCAGTCACTAATGGACTTCATCCTTAATTTCGCGGGATATTTCGGACGATTTTCGCGAGTCACTTTATATGAATTTTCTGTACTAATTCAATTGGATTTAATTCTAAAATTGAATTAGATTAAATTACGAATTATTTTGAATTTAATCGTTACATAGTGTTTGTAAAAAAAAGTGATGTTCCATTACGGAAAAATTGCTGCACGTATGTGAATGGTTACGCAATATTGAGCAATAAATTAAATAAATTAAAACTGTAAATTTTACAGATTCGGCGCAAATTAGCTTCACGTTTATTAAATTTTTCCGAGTCAGTGAAAAAAAAATTATGAAGTATATAATGAATTTTTAAAAGGTAAAGAAAAAGAAAAAGGTAAAGGAAGGTGAGGAAAAGGCGGAGAAAAATTCACGATACTCTATAATTTTTCTCCGCGCATGAATTTAGGTGTAATTTATAATTTATTTGTCTCTTCCTGCACTAAACAATAATTGCATGTACTACAATAATTCAGTAAATGTGGTCCATTCAAACAACCAAAATATAATCCATGAAATTTATAACAATAATGATAGCGTAGATCTGAATCTGTTCTCCATTCTGAAGCAATTAATTCAGCAATTTAAATCATTCATCCGTGTGGATTTATCCACTGAGCGGAACGGTGTGAGAATTCACCCGAGGAATAATAAATCATCCTACATCCTTTCACTGGATTCCTAATATATTTAATTAGAGAGAGTCAAAAGGTCCCGATTACAAGCGCCCATTCCAGTGATCCAATAATGATGAAAAAATTCAAATATTCATGCACCAAGCGATGAAGAATTAACCTCCGCCCATGGCAGGACACTCCGCAATAATTAACCCGAAAAATACTAACTCAATCTCCGTGAATACTCCATCCTCTTCCCATTAATTTGATTACCACTGCAATCATCCAAATAATGAGGTCTAGCCGCAAATTCAATCGTCCTTCTTGTGCAATGAAATAATCAAAATAGAACAGAGGCGAATGCATGTGAAACTGACATGCCGACGATGAGTTTAAATAGTGGAAGAGTGCGTAAAACCTCGACCATTAATTACTTGAGTAAATGGAATAATGCCGTGCCGAAGGCGAATTTCAAGAAACTAATTCGTAATTTTTATTGTGCACATTTTTTCAAAAAAGTCGCCGGGCAAACGAACAATAAACAATCATTTTTTTGTACTAATTATTTATTTTTAGACATATATAATCGATCTTCAATGTATGAGAAATCTCACTCGAATAAGTACACTGAGAGAAATATTCAGTAAAAATTACGGATCAATTCACCTAATCCGCAATGGGGAATCATTTTCCGGCAATTTTTATGGGAATGGAAGAGAATAAATCTGAAACATTCAGTGAATTCTCAAATTGTCACGTAATTTTTCCCGAAGAAGTAAAATCTTACGGAAACTTCCCGACTTATTGTGCCTCCAAAATCAAAAATTCTTGAACGTTCAACAATTTTTATGAAGCTGGTGAGTTATTTCTACGTTCCGTTCCGTAAAATTTCTCAATCGTTGGGGAAAAATTACGGAAGGACTTGTCCCCACAGCGGTGAGTCATCAGACGGGTGGTTAATTTTTACGAAACAAACCGTAGAATTTACGTGGCGATTCGTACAATTTCAGTTCCGACTCACACATTTATTGAATTCTACTCCGCTCGCGGATTATGTTTCGAAACGTATTTTTTTTCTTTTTTTTCTGGTAATTTTTATTGAATTTTTCTCTCCGTGTAGTACTCTCCCCTTAATATTTTTTTTCTCTCGTATACCCTTTTGGGTTTTTACGATTTGTTTCCTTCCCACCCCCCAACCCCTGGACCGCATTCGCCGAAGGACAAGGGAAAACCTCATTTGAGGCTAAAACCTGCCGAGGTACAGTCGTCTCTTGCGAGACTCCCGTTCGATAATGAAACCGTGAGATTTAGAGTGTCACAAATTTTGGCCCCCCCAGCCGGGAATCGAACCCGGGTCTCGCGCATGCCAATCCCACACTCTAACCGCACGGAGACAAATGTTCAGTAAAAATTACGAAACTCACAATTCGCTCACCGATTACAGGATCGACTCAGAAAATTTAAGTGAAGGTATCATAAATTTTCACAGGAGATTCAGATCAAAATTACGGAACGCTCTGGAAAAATCCTGTGACAGCTCCGTAAATTTTCTATTGACAGTTCCGTAAAATTTTTATTGAATATTTCTCTTCATACATGCAGCCACCGCCGTCGATGTCCCC